AGCGTCGGGAGCTGTCCTTTTCGTCTCGGTGACGGTCTTGTTCGGCCTGACTTGCTATCGAGTGCGTCGGTCGAAGCGTCGGGCCGGGCCCAAGAGCGACGACCGCCAGTCGTCGCCTCTTCCCTCCCAACTGGCCCACATGGAGACGGGCAAAGTGTCCGCGAGTCCAGGCGAGCCCGGCCTCTGTCGGTCGTGTCGTCCGCTGCCTCGAGACGTCGGGCCTGCCTACACCGCAGCCAAGTACCCCTCGTCCGTGTGGCTGCGTCGTCAACGCGTCTGCTCCCAGTGGGTCTGCCAGGCGGCTCAGTGTCTGGCCATCTTCCTGCTCCTCATCCTCCTCATGATCGCCTCGGTGCTCGGCGCCATCACCACCTGTCAGCTCTACTACAACCTGGCGACCGAGGCGCACTACAACGCCTCGGTCGGCCTCTTAACTCCCGTCGAGTTGGCCAGCACCCGCGTCGACTCGCATCACCTGTTGCCCAGTCTCTTCTTCGCCCTCTCCAGCCTGCGCCAGTACCTGACGGAGTTTGTCTCGCGCACTCGCGTCGCCACCAAGTCGGCCGTGGACCAGTTGATAGTGGCCACGCAACACATGCAGAACGACACGACGCTCAGCTTCAATCAGCTCCTCTCGCATCGTCTCGGCATCGTGGACACCTTCCAGTTGGGCCGGCGTCTGGGCGGTCAAGTGATCACGATGATGCAGGCCTGTCAGGCCATTGTCAGCTCGACGGCCGCCTTCAAGAGCCATCGCAACCGACTGACCGAATTGATGCCGACTCTGGCCAAGACGGTGAACCAGGTGGCCCTCGTCGAGTCCGTCTGTCCGGCCAAGTGTCAGCAGTTGTCGCGCCGCCTGCAAAGCCTCACGCCCGGGCTGCAGGAAGCTGATGAGTTCACGTTCGCCGTCGCTTTTCTCTTCGTCACACGCAACCAGACCCCGGCCACGGTTCAGGCCGAGCTGGCCGAGGGCGAGCGCATCTCCGAGGCGCAGTTGGCCAGAACTCACGAACGCATGCGTCGGGAACTCGACATCCCCGGCTCCATCCATCGCCTCGTCGACATGCAATGGGCCGACCTCGAGGCCGGTCTGGTCGGGGCGGTGGCCAGCATCGAGGCGACGGCGCGTCTCCTGCAGCTGCGTCTGCAGCCCGGCCTGCGCCACGCCTCGGGCGGCCTCCTTCTGGCCGGCTGCCTGCTTTGGCTATTCACTCTCCTGCAGGCCGTCACGGTTGGCTGGCTCGCCTGCCACTACCACTGCGTCCCGGTCGGCCTGTCCCGGCGACTGCGTCGGCGCGTCCGCCTCGCCGGCGCCCTCGGTCTCCTCCTCCTTCTCGGGCTGCTTCTGCTCGCCACCCTTCTCTTCCTCACCGCCGGCTACGCCTCCACCGAGGTCTGTCGCTACCTCTTGCCTGAACGCAGTAGCCTCCTGCCCACCGTCGACCCGAATCGTGCGCCCCACTCGCCGGTCGTCTGGAGGCAACGTCGTCTCGTCCTCGACGTCTACCTCGACCGCTTTATCGACCAGCATTGGACGTCCCTGCAGAGCTTAACTGACCGTCTGCAACGCTCGATGGCCGGCGCAAACGCCTCTGGCCGTCCCTTGCTGCCGCTGCCGCACGTCAGGAGTCCGATTCGTGGGTTGGCCATCGCCTGTCGCCATGACATCGGCATCCTTGACGCCTTGGACGCAATTCGCGACTTCAATTTCACCTCTTTGAATAGACCTGAACTCTCCGATCGGTTTGTGCGAGTGGGACGTCAGATTTTGATCGACTCGCTCAACGAGCTCGAGCCTCGGCAACTGTTTCCGGCCGAGAAAGAACAGCAAATCCATCAGATGGCCAGTCTCGACATGTTTCTGTCGGAGAACTTTACGCAACTCAAGCACTCTTTGCCTTGGCATATTTTGTACGAGAACATAACCACCGCCGACCGCCTCACCGCTCTGACCGGAGCCCAGTTCGCCCAACTCTGGAGCGATTATCGCGCCAGCCTGACCAACGAGGCTGACCTCGGCGACCGGTTGGCCGGACTGGAAGCGAGCGGCCAGAGCGTGCAACAGTTGGTGCAAGCAATGTCCGAGTCGCTGGTCAAGACGGCCGGCGACCTCGACAGTCTGGCCAGCATCGAGAAGATAGCTCCACTCGCCAGTCAACTGCAGGAGAGCATCGGCCGACTCAAGTCGCGGCTGGACAACAAAACGGAGCTGCTGGCCTTCGCAACCGACCTTTTCGACTCGGACATTGCGGCCAGCACGCCGGCCAACGCGGCCAGACTGATGAGCCTCCACGGGCCGGACATTATGCGTCCAGTTGGTCAGTGTCGGAGGCTGTACGACGCTTACACCGCGGGCACTCGAGCCGTGTGCACCGGCCTCGTGGCCGGCCTCAACGGGCTCTGGCTCTGCACAGGACTCTCCTTCCTCTTTGGCCTGGCCAGCCTCGGCTTGGCGCTGCTCCTTCTGCTCGAGGAGAAGCCGCTCCTTCAGCTCCGCCAGCCCCTCGGGCCATCGCAACCGCCAAAGCTCGCCTCGCCCGCTGCAGAAGCCGAGGCCAGTCAAGCCGCCGGCCACGCCGCATCCTCGCCGCCCGGCACCCTGGTCCAGGAGTCGAGGCGACGCAGAGCCAGAATGGCCGAGGCCCAGATTACGTCTGCCTCAACAGGACCCAATGAGTCGTCTGCTCTATCCTCGGCCGACGCCTAGTCGACACGCTCTCGGCCAACTCGACAGACTTCTCTGCCCCACTAGCCTCCCTCCTCCATTATGCCTCTTAATTATCGAATTAACCCGGTTCACACATTCAGCTTTCCTGCTCATCCGTCTGGTACTCGAGTCGTGATTCGCCCCTCCTCCTCCTCCTCCTTCTCTCCCACGATGCCATGATCTCTTTTCTTCTTCCCTCACCCAGCTCCGAAAGTCTCCAGGAGCCCTGCCCTCCTTGTATTACCTTTTGGTGCCTTTTCTGATAAGTCACTTGCTTCACTTGCCTTACCTTCATACCAACAAGTGCGTGTCTGCCTTTTGATCGCCAGCCATCATCGACAATCATCGGAAACAGGTTCGTATATACATTTATAAGTGAATCCCTCATACTCATTTTAGCACTCCTCCATTTCCTGGTCAGCATATGCTTCGCTTCCACTATGCATAAACTGACATGCATATATTATGCATTTACCCAAACTCCACATTTTTTTGGCATCACACTGCCTCCGACTTCGCATCGCCTGTGCACATTCCAGGCTTTCTACAAACTTTTTAATTTAGCCCTACAACATATTGACCTTAATAGCATTGCACCAGAATCAACGGACATAGGACTCAACTCCTCCGCCTACCAGATCCTCCTCTCTCTGAGCATAACAGTTTTGTTTGCCGAAAGTGTCTCTTCTGACTAGAGAGCACATTCGAGATCTCTCTAACTAATAGAAATGCCAACTAATGTGTTCTAACACCTTCATGTGCCCATTGTGGCTCCCTCTCAGGCCTTTCATACTATTTCGCTCTCTCTTTTTATATATCACTTCGCTCTTGTGCATTTTATAAGTCTGTATTTATATGTCTTGATTTATTTACTGCAATTCATCTTTCAAAATTGTCCTCTACCCTTATATACAAAGGATGCATTGGTTCCTTTTAGGCGGCCTGCCAGCATGGTTGCTCGTCGACAAATTTACTACGGAGGCAGGGGGAACAAATTTCCGGCCGAGATAGCCGGATTCATAGGCCATAAACGTAGACTCAACATGAAATTGTCTCAAATTCGCGCCAGGCTACACCACTGGCAACCAAGTTTGTACACACATGCGGAGACAATTGGCCCGCTTGCTGCAACCTGTTGAGGCCTACGCCAAATCCTGTCTGAAAACTCGCGTTTAAGTGTTAAAAATACTGTGACATTCAATGCTAATCTAGTGTCTATTTCGAGTGAAAGCGTCCATCAAGGCCAAACAGTAGTTGACCAAGAGAAATCCCACCTCCGAATATCTTCGCTGCACCACATTTTCACTCG